AGGTTGTATTAGTTGAGCCCGTTCATGATTTACGGGCTCTGTCCAATGAAAGACAAGAAACGAGATTGATTTCCGATCCCGCATACCAGAAATTCATCCAGAATTTCTAACGATCGTGGTGATTCTTCGATTGGCTCGGTTAATTGCTCGATTTCGAATCATCCGAATGATCATTTCGAGAGGATCAATTTTAAGTGTTTCAACTCAAATTTTGCTCATGTGCACGATAGACGTTTCAGTGAAAGAGGATTCTTCTGAGTCGGAATCCGAAATCGACGAGGATATGGTGTTGGAAGAGGACGAGGAGGACGATGTGCTTTCTGATGCAAAAACTGATCAGGTGTTTATATTCTCCACCCTTTTCTAATAAATCTTCCCCTGTCTGGGTGAGAAATGTGATGAATTCGATGGTATTTTCAGGAGCTTTTCCATCTTATGAAGTTGAAGTATGCTCAAAATGATGGCCGTTCATATTTAACTGACCAATTAATACCAGTTGATCGCAATGGTAGTGCGATAATAGTGTGATTGATGTATAAATTATTCATGACTTGTCAGCTAGTATGTCCACTGTGTCTATGTGATTTGTTTGTTTGTGTCTGCAAAATGTGAGGATTGTACGAACGTTAAAGGATAAAAGAACAATGTCGAGTGGATCGTCGAGACGAGATGAAGAGGAAATGCGTCATTTGGGCCGTATGGAACGACGATATCAGTCCAGACGCTGATCAACACATTCAAATATCTAGCAGCAAAAATTGATGATTGCAGTGATCTATGACCTCAAAAACGAATGATTGATGTTCGATTATCAATGTAATATGATAAGATTTCAATGGAATAAATTATTTTTTTGTGTTCAGTCGTAGTGTTACTAGCCATCAGCTGCTCTTTTCCAGTCTTCGTTTTTGGATTAATGCATTGTAATAGTTGATAGACGAGCATTCTGAGTGGATAATCATTTTGCACAAAAACACGGTTATTACCGTATACATAGCTGAGATGTTGAAGTGGACGAGAAAGGTTTATTTTCCTGCTTCATTATAAATATCCACTTTTAAATCTTCCATCATAAAGTATGATGGTGCAAGCGAGCGATCGTTTAATTCATTTGTTGCCTGGTTCGTAAAAATCATTTTTTGTCGCGCAACTGACCGTACCACTCAAGTCCATCAGTGGGCATGGGTTGATTTGGTGGGAATGACCCAGAAGAATGGTCTACTCTAAGAAACGGATAGTCGCACAGTAATCAAACGGGGAATTAGGGATGCATCACGATGAATAAAGAAAATAAATATTTATTGCTGTTATAGCATAAATAAACATATTTATATGAATCAATTTGTATTCATACTACATATCATAATCGTAACATCTATCTAATCGTAAGAACAACAACAAAAATCACTGAAAAGTGATGATATTCATGACGAATCAAGCTGAATCAAAGAAACTAGACTTCGAGGCGTCATTTTTGCTACACCACCTGAATATAGCGAGAACAAGCGACTGCACAAACTGATAATAAAGCAACTGATTGGAATTAGAAGGATGTACGGGGAGCTGAAAACATTACTGTCGCTGTTATTTTTATCGTTGATGATGTTATTGTGATTGATGCTGTCCTTGATTATTGTCTCTACTGCCGGGATTATTTACATCATTACGATTCTATCATTATGATTCTATTATTATGTCACATTATTGTTACCACACTAAACAGTATGATTGAGACAATTCTACTGAGATNAGATGGATGGATGGATCACTTGAGAGTGACTGACTCATCATCAGTCATACGGGGCCTTGACGTAACGATCGTAGGCCTCCTGAGTTGGATCGGCTGTATCAATAGCACCGTAATTTGCATTCGATACAGCAGTTTGATTGAACGCATCCGTCAGCTTGCCTTCGCCGTGATGCATCGGAATACCTTGTGGAGCGGACACTGTAAAAATGTGTTCGTTAGTGCAAAGATACTTGTTCTAACAACAGTATGATGTGAAGTGGGTGGAAGATAATTTGCACAAAGTATGAGATGCTTATTTTACAATGACTTAGACTGAACAATGTGAAACCATGGATTTGGTTCTGATTTGGATTATCATTATTATCATGGTTCCTAATAACAGCATGAGTATCAATCTCAGTTCATCGATTGTCGTTATCAACGATTTCATTAGCATTATTTCTTTTCATCATTATTAGTATGACCATAACAGCTAATAGTCTTATTGTGGTAGACTCGACTAATTCCAATCTTATCGATTAACTGAATCAATACACATAAATTATAATCTTCAAACAAAACTCACTCAGTGTTGCAGGAATATCGTCATCTTCCTCATTCTCAAAGTTTTGACTATACTTAACGCCATCACTCTTGAATAATCGGTTGAAACCAATATTCAACACGAGAACAATGAAGGCAATTGCTGAATATATTTGGAACGTCATTCGTGTACCTAAATTCATAAAAACAATAATATGATCTTTATTTGCTGCGGAATTTCATGAATCTAGTAACAAAGTTTTCGATGTTTCGAATTATGCAAAAGCAGTTCATCAAATTCATCATGAATGCTTTTTAAGTAGAAATGTTCAGTGCTCTATCAGGCTTGAAAATCTTAATTTCTATCGAAATTAATCGTTATTGTTCTCAT